TCTCTCTCTCTCTCTCTCTCTCTCTCTCTCTCTCTCTCTCTCTCTCTCTCTCTCGCTCGCTCGCTTTCATCTAGGGTTGGCCTTGACAACGTTGTTGACACACACACGTAACCTCAATAAATCAATACATTATTTTAAAAAAGTAAAATTTTCCTGATTAACGCTGTTCAACATCAGCTGCAAAAACCACCAGCAAAAAAGTATTTGCCAGGAGAGCAATATCAGTTTCCTTCATGACCTGCACAAGTCTTATCCCATTCAGCCAGGTCAAATAAATGGATAGAGCAGATTCAAGCCATTCGCAGAGCAGTGGTGATTTAAATAGGAGAATACTACTGAGAATACATCCAACATACATTACCATGCAACCGGTACAGTCTCTTTAGGGTGAACCGAACCTCATCATAACGCAGGCAGCGCTAAATAATAACCTTATATCATCTGTTCTCATCTATCTAAACTGTTATAGCTCTGGTTACAAGAGACAAACCGGACTTACACGCTGCTTATAGGAATAAAGTTTTGTACATATCATAATCATGTGATTGTGCAAATTCATAGCAGAAAATATATGAAAAAAAAGTACATGTAAAACAAATTTCAAGCACCTTGACATTGCAAAATTGTGAAATGACATGTCAAAAATATATATTATATTTCTTGACAAGTAAAATTGTAATTAAATACTGAAGAGTCCACATAAACTGAAATCTGCGGGACAGTCAGATTTTCTTAGGTAAAAGCCGTCTTTATAGTTCAGAAAGGTTGCTCAAAGAGAATAAAAAATTTATAATTAAAAAAATTAGGGATTTTCTTATTCTTTGGTTTACCATTGCATTAGGATTAACTGTGTTAGGTTGAAGCAAAGTTCACTGCATAATCAAAAAAATGTTAATCAACTCTGCACACATTTTTACAGAAAACTAATTAACACAGTAGAAAACTCAGTATCGAACACACTAAATAACCATAAAAGTAAAAGAAATATCATCTTGAATGCTACAGTGTACAAAACCAACAGAAAAAGCACTGTATAGAGATTTTTGAGAAAAGATAAAATCAAAATGGCCATCATTCCTTGATAAAAACTTTTTTAAAGCTCGTTCTGAATAGGCCTTGCAAGATATTTTCAAAATCTTATTTCTAAATACATTTCAAATTAAAATCAAAAGTGCAGTTATATTTTCTAATGAATTCATTAAGCATGTATATCAAATTCTAATTCTTATAGTGAATTGCAACTTTTATTTCCAGGGTGAGAGAGAGAGAGAGAGAGAGAGAGAGAGAGAGAGAGAGAGAGAGAGAGAGAGAGAGAGAGAGAGAGAGAGAGAGAGAGAGAGAGAGAGAGAGAGAGAGAGAGAGAGAGAGAGAGAGGGAGAGAGAGTGTGATAGACAAAAAGACAAAGAGGAAGAGGGGATAAGAAGAGGGGTGGGTGGTAGAGGGAGTAGGAGATGAGAGAGAGAGAGAGAGAGAGAGAGAGAGAGAGAGAGAGAGAGAGAGAGAGAGAGAGAAAGAAAGAGCAGGGGGGGGGAGTATGATGGAGAGGGAGATTTACGTACAAGAAACTGATAATCTTTATTTACAGCCTCACTAATACCATGAGGTGGCAGATCATTCATTGAATTTGACAATGGTAGAGATTAACGTCGGGTCACAAAAGAGCAAAGTTTGGAAAAGGGGAAGGGGGTGGAGGGGTGGGGCGGAGTTGTAAAAAAAAAAAAATACAATGTAGAACACAGGCACACAAATAACAACCTCATCATACACAAGGTTGAAAGTGATCTACCTTTCTTTCCCTTTTCTACCCCTTGCCTCCCCTCCTCTCTCTCTCTCTCTCTATCTGTGTAAATACACGCACAGTCCAGTATGGATAACTCAAACACATCATGGATTGACATGTGTCGGTACAACATCCATAATTCTGGAAAACCGGTAAACAAACAAAAATGGAAGAGGCTAGCTGCACTTAATAATGATGGCTAGACTGACAAACAGCAAAAAAATAGGCCTTCTGAATTGTAAACAAATTTTTAGTTTGCAATACCTAAAGTATTTGTATTTTAGATGAAACCAAAAGGTGCCTTACTCAAAAAGTTACTGACAGTGCATGTATTTTGAACCTGAATAATTACTAATGAGACCTGTGTACTCAACAGGTTTTGGTCAATATGGCCTAACATAAGTAAGGACTGGCAAGCTAGCCGCATTTAATAATGATTGTTGAATAGTAAATAAAATTTTAGTTTGCAATTCTTAAAGTATTTGTATTTTAGACGAAACCAAAAGGTGCCTTACTGACAAGCACATATTTTAAACCTGAATAATTACTAGATCTAATGAGACCTGTGTATTCAACAGGTTTCGGTCAAAAGGGCCTAACCTAAGTACGGCTAGCCACTTCGAACAAAAATTAGAAAGATAAAGTTATACATATTCATGGAACCATTAAAAATATTTACTATGAATAAAAAATTTTCAATCGGGTAAATAGATTAAACAAATTTTTTTAAAAACTTGAGATAAATGTATACATATTTAAAGAACATAAAAAATATTCCCTGTGAAAAAAATTTATACATATTCATGAAAATACATATTTAAAGAACATAAAAAATAAAAAACAACCCCCCCCCAACAAAAAAACCCATTAAAAAATGGAGATATAGGCCTACATATTTAAAGAACCATTAGAAATATTCACTGTGAACAAAATTTTCATAACAACACTGGCTGTTTTTAAATACTCAAGAAACTCAAGGTGTGAAAAAAAGTGACGATGTTGCTTAAGGCTTAAGCAATAGGCCCTATCATGCCATTTTGGGCAGACAGCTGCTAGGTCTTTCCACGATGAAGACAGCTCCCGATAGCCATAGCCCTGGCCACAGGACACAGACACACATCTGCAGTTATTTAAAAAAACACACAGCATACACAATTTTAACAGTTTTACAGGAGAGCTAAAAAACTGAAAGTTGTTCCCAAGAAAACAGCTTTAGCTTTAATTAAGAAAATAAAGAACTTATATTATCAAAATTGTATTCTTAAAAACATTGACTTGAGATATTATTTGCAAAGAGTTTGGTCTCTTGGCAACAACATTCAGTTTTTTTGGATCTTCTGTAAAATTGTAAAAACTGAAAATACTGTATTTTTACAAAATGAAGGCAGACATACACGTCATGCACATATGCTGCCCTAAGCTGACAAAACGTTTTCTTTCATTTTTGGCGCCAAATTTTTTTTTATTTGCTAAATCAATAGCCCGGCAAAAATCGTTTTTATAGACCAAAACATTCCTGATACTCTGACGTACAATGTTTATAAATGTGAAACCTAGGGTCAAACTACTAGTATGTGAAAAAATTAAAGTGAAACTGTGACAAGTTTTTGAATAAATTAGCATCAAAATTTTGGAAGAAAGCCTTTTTAAATGGTTACACTGACCAAACGTATTTTTATTTCGAAACTGTGTGAATAAGAAAAAGGTGTTTTGTCAGTGTATGGCAGCACAGGTAAAAGCTTTTCTACACACAACTGAAAGAATACATGCTGCTGTGGTGCCAGTTTAAAGTGTGTTTAGGAGCATTTGAAATGTGACTCTGGGTTTCACATTTACACGCATAAAAACCATTTTCCACAAAACTCAAGTTAGGGAGGAACCGGCGAGTCATATTATACATATATAATATGCAAGTAATGAAACGGGAAGGGGTTATTTGTACAAGGGACTGACCTAAACAGGTGTCTGCTAGAGTCGGTATAACAGTATGAGTGTGAGACAGAATGTGTGTGTGTATGTGTGTGTGTGAGGGTGTGAATGTGTGTGTGTGCGTGTGTGTGTTATATAAAGGGCATCTCATAAGGGCTAAAAATATACTGAGTTGCAAATGTTCTGTCACACCCACCTTCAAAGTATAATAACTTATTAAACTTATTTACTGTTCAACGTAGCCGAGCGAAATTCGGTACACATGCTCTTCATTCATTTTCTGTCAACATGTCATAAAGAGAATTGACCAGTATCTTTCCTTATTCAAGGGAGATAATTTTATTCATACTGACCCTTGATAAAAACCATATCAAAGTTTGCCCAGTGTTGCGTGTGGCCTCTTCCAGCTTGATTTACTGCTACGAAACGTATGTTCATTCCCTGAATTAACGTCCTTATGGTTGCTTGAGGAATCCCTTGCCATTCTTTGCGAAGTGCAGCCTAATATCAGTATCTGGTGAGTTTGCACAGTTATAGACTGTTTTAACCCTCTAGTCAAGGTCTTATTTTAGGTGTTCTGTTAGGGAGAAGGCTTGTTGATCTTGCAGGCCAGTCCAGAACATTGATTTGATGAGTTTAAAAGAGTTTTGACTGATCATGGCTGCATGGGGTCGGACGTTGTCCTTTTGGCACATTCCATCATCCATGGCATGTAGGGCTGGACATTGTGATGAAGAATTTTGACACAGTCAGTCGCTCTCTGGGGTTGCTTTGAATAGTGACCAAATGTGTACGATGAAGAGCAGGAGGGATTCCATCCCACTCTATCCCACATCAGTCACCAAATTGGTCTGTTTGGTGGACAATGGCTTCGTGAACCCTCTATCCTCTTTTTGTTAACACTTTTTCTCTTCCATCAAAGCCACGAATAAAAAACCTGGACCATTGCAAAATAGAACACTCTATCAACTTGTCTGGTTCCATCACCAACGTTGGTGCATCAAAATTTGGCGATCTCTTCAATGAAACGGAGTCACAATAGGTGATCACACAAAGGGCGATAATCACGCAATCGAGGGCCACATAAATGTCCGATAATGTTGTTTTAAGACAGTCCGAAGTACCTGGTGGTCTATGCACTTAGTTGGAACGGATTTTGGACATGGGTGTGGACAATAACCCAATTCAGGCGCCGAGTTGTCACCCTTGGCAAGCCATGCCTAGACCTGTCTTGGACAGTTCCAATGGTGTCAAAATGCTTGTTTAAGCATTAGATGGTTTTTCTGCACACATTTACTTGTCTTGCAACAATAGAAACCGCAATTCCAGAATTTATATATGCTCAGTGCATTCGCGTGCTGCATTTGTCAGTTTAGTTATTTTGAAAAGAGGGGAACAAATAACCCAATGGTGAAAAAGCCCGGATTATTAAGGGGCGTAAGGCGTATTTACACATTGTCTTTGTGATTCAAAGCAAATTTTGACTGTAGGATGCATTGATTTCACCGCATATCGTGAAAAAACAATACCAACACTTGGCCCACGCACAACTTCCGGTTTCTGACTTCGTCAGTCTCCGCATGTACCAAGAGTCTCAGAAGTCACACAAATAATAATTTTTCAGATTTAGTGCAATTCTTACAATTAAGAGAAAACAACTGTAGTACAATGGGTGGGACAGAACTTTTGCAACTCAGTATACTAGCAAATAGCACAAGTCTAGATCTACAAATATTCGAGAGATAAACAAAAACATTTATCTCTTACTCTCCAGATGAATATAATGTATTGAAGACACACAATCTTTCTAGAAAATATCCAAGGCACTCTTTGCACCTTCATCAACAAGGAGAGTTCCCTGAGCGTACATAGTGACTGGACCTGGAACACGTCATTACCCATTTAGTACTGCTACACTACTATTCTCTAAATTCTTTGTTAAAACATGGATGAGCAACACACATGGAGAGCAGAAATTACTGCTGTAAAATTTTTTCCGTCACTGTCAGGGTTCGAACCAGGGACCTATTGAATGAGAGACGAACATCGTACCACTAGACCACGAGAATCTTCTAGTAGTCTTACACCAAGCAGGTGATAAATACCTATAATATTGTGACTACACAGGGGCAGATAGGAACAGCACGCTGTGAGAGAAGACTCTGACGTGTTGCAATGTTCATACTCACAACACAACTGTTGCTTTTGCTATGCATGCTGTTGTAGTTACTGACCCTGTAAAGTACGAGTGCCCCAACTTCTATCCTCCTCTAGGAAATGGTGGACACAGGATCTTTTCAATACTACCGACCACTACTAACAATAATAATAATTGCATTCATATAGCGCATATATATCCACGCTCAACAGCATGCTCTATGCACTTTACATCTATTATTACCCCAGCAGACCCTAAAACCCCAGAAACATGCTTGGCTCCCCAGGAAGCCTGCAATACAATACTTTGAAAGGTGTGTCGTTCCGTTGAATGCATTTTCAGCGTCTGGTCTCAGTGACAATAGTCAGATTCTCAGTTGCATTTGTGTACGTGTGCTGGATGTGTTGTCAAATTAACAGGCTATACAGACGGGTGGGACACTGACCGCATGAAGGTTGGATTGCTTCGTCTTCTGTCCACTGCAAGAAACACAACAGAAACAGAAAAAGGAGTAAATAAAGAGCTTCACTATTTTCCCATCAACCAATGCACCCAAAGCTATATTAGTGTAATTACTTCAATCGTTATTTAAATGACAGATCCAGTTGCAGAGAAACAATCACAGAGGGCAGCAAATCCCAAGAGTTTTCTTAGCAGGAAAAACTGAAGCCAAGAGAGAAGCCAGTAAGCTGGGCAAATCAACAAGTGAAAATGGAGATTTTAAATGCTCTAAATGGGGTAAAGTAAACTTTTCTCAGCCAGAACTGGTTTCATTGGCTATAGTAGAAGCCACAGGTCATCTAAATCCATATTTCTTCTATTTTCTTTATGATATATTCTCCTCTGAAGATCTTCAAGTTTCAACCATTATTCATCCTGCTGTATTCTATTCCTTCATTCGTCCACTAACCTACCGTATCATTTTCCCACTACCAAAACTGAAAATATTCAAGTCGGTATAAAAATATATAGAAACCTTTCGAAATCTGACTGTGGTTGCCTGAAGGCACTGAGCCCAAAGAAGTAGAAAATAATGATCACATGCATAAAAGTTACTTGTACTGAAGAATCAGCAGTTGACCACCCTTGAGATCTAGTGAAAAAGAAGAAGAAGAAGAAGAAGAAGAAGAAGAAGAAGAAGAAGAAGAAGAAGAAGAAGAAGGAGAAGGAGAAGGAGAAGGAGAAGGAGAAGGAGAAGGAGAAGGAGAAGGAGAAGAAGAAGGAGAAGGAGAAGAAGAAGAAGAAGAAGAAGAAGAAGAAGAAGAAGAAGAAGAAGAAGAAGAAGAAGAAGAAGAAGAAGAAGAAGAAGAAGAGAGAGAGAGAGAGGAGAGAGAGGAGAGAGAGAGAGAGAGGAGGAGGAGGAGGAGGAGGAGGAGGAGGAGGAGAAGAAGAAGAAGAAGAAGAAGAAAAAGAAAAAGAAGAAGAAGAAGGTGAATACAGTCATAGTAAGATGCCAACATACCATTTTCATTATGCGATCTGCTGCTAACGCTTGATAAGGAACCATGGGACAGGACCACTTCAGGGTCTAGGAGAGCCTGCCTGTCATTTTCATCTATTGGTAAACTAGTGTAGTGAGAGACAGCTTCCGGTCCATTGTCAGCTTTCCGTCTTATTCTCCGCAGGGTGAAATATATGACGACGCAAATCATCTGTGGAGGAGGAAGAGGTAGTTGTGAGGTAGCCTGTTAAGGAATTTTAAAAAGGGACACCCTGAAATAAAAAATAGGTCATTACATTTGACTGGGTAATGAGAACACATCAATTGATTGAGTAAAAAGAAACACATTGGTATAAACTATTGTTTAGATTGACTGAGTAAAAAAGAAAGACATCGACATCATAAATATCGTTTAGATAGACTGAGTAAAAAAGAAAGACATCGACATCATAAATATCGTTTAGATAGACTGAGTAAAAAAGAAAGACATCGATATCATAAATATCGTTTAGATTGACTGAGTAAAAAAGAAAGACATCGACATCATAAATATTGTTTAGATTGACTGAGTAAAAAAGAAAGACATCGACATCATAAATATCGTTTAGATTGACTGAGTAAAAAAGAAAGACATCGACATCATAAATATTGTTTAGATAGACTGAGTAAAAAAGAAAGACATCGACATAATAAATATTGTTTAGATTGACTGAGTAAAAAGAAACACACAGACATAAAAGCAGGCATTCGGTACTGTGAAAAAGTAAGACAACAGACAGTTTAAACAGAGGGGAAAAAAATTAGTAGTAGGATCTACCAATAGCACCGTCCACCTAGCTGAGAGCTTAAGGGTTCTTTTTTGTTTTAGTAAGAGTTTTATGGCACTTGCAACACTAAAAGGTCACAAAGTGCTGAAAATTAGGTGTGTTACAAGAGCGTAACAAACTCAAAAAAGACGGAGGGTAAGGTTTCTCAAGTCCATGTTGGACTGATAACAAGAACAATAATAACAACAACAGCGACTTTATTAAAACATGCGAAGATACTCACAGCTGCAAAGTGAATACAGCTGACGATGACAGCCGCCCAGTCAAATCCAAGCTGCTCCACCGCCGTGCTGCCCAAAGTGGGGCCTACGAATGCACTGAGAAAAGGCCACTAGATGCTTTATTTTTAAATTTTAGTCAGAGTTTTATGGCATTTACAATGCAATAAAGTTATAATATATGAGGCAGCTTGGTGGAATCAGGCTCTTGTCAAAATAATCAAAGTGAAGAAACTTGCATTTTTCCGCAGATTTGTGAATTTTTATCAAATTTTTGTTTTTTGGCACAACACCTTTCATGCCCATTAAAGAACTAATTTCTGTGTGGATTTTGCTTAAAAACGTTGATTAAAGGCACAAAAAATGTAAATTTTCAGTTACCAGGGACTCTTAAGCTAAGGAAATAACTAATCTTTGGCGGCCATTTTCTCACTAATTTTACCTCTGAAAAAAGGTTACCCCACCTCCTTCATTCGCAAATATCTCGACTTGTATTCAAGGTAAATGCATATTTTTTTCATTGAAATAAAGACAAGTGAACAAGCTTTAAGATGACACCAATAACTCTACATGCCCCAAAATTGACGAGACCCTGATTCCACTACGCTGCCTCACAATTGTAAAAGTGCCGGAGATTAGAGGTGTTACAAGAGAGCAACAAAGACAAAAAAAGAAGGAGAGATGAGGAATGTAACAGTACCATGTTTCGTACAATATTGTTTCGTACCCTAATGCTTTGACTATGATTAGTACAGTGGAGTCCACTTATAACGAGTCCGGAAAAAACGAGAAGTCTGTTATAAAGACTTTATTCTAAAACCCCGTTTTTTTCTCCCCTTTACCTTTGTGAATAAAATACTGCGATAGTGCTATCAAACAAACAAGCTAGTCGTTTATGGCGGAATATTGCTGCTGCTGTGCTCAGTGCATAGGCCATTGCAAAACCTCGCCAGTTAAGAAACTTGTTGGTGATCTTGCCAAACAAACAATAGGAGAGAGAGCCCATGTGTGTCAACAAGGTATTGAGCTTTTAGTACATCAGTGTAATGGTTTGCTGTGTGGGATGGGGAAGAAGTTATATCGTTTAAAAACTTAGACAAAAATGCAAATTTCTTAACCGACACCGGAAGAGCTGCTTCAAGGCTCATTAACTCCGTGACCCCGAGCTGGGGAGATCTGGCGTGCTGCTGAATCTCGCTGACTAAAAGTAACAGAATCGGGCAGAAAGCGACGCCATGAAAAGTATACCAATGACATGTTGATAGGTATTCACAAAACAACAAATAAAATGTGAGGCATTGTGGTGAAATCAGGCGCTTCTCAAAATAATGAAATCTGAAAATTGGCATTTTTCGGCCAGTTTGGACATTTATTTCGAATTTTTGTCCTTTGGCTCAACACCTTGTATGTCTATTCACAAACACTTTTAAGTGTGGATTTTTACGGGAAAATGTTGATTAAAGGCACCAAAAAATGTCAATTAGCAGTTTCCAAGGATTCTTAAGCTACGGAAGTCACCAAACTTTGATGGACATTTTCTCGATAATTTTACTCCTGAAACCAGGCGACCCCACCTCCTTCAATCTCACATATCTCGACTTCTATTCAAGATAAACGGATATTCTTTCATCGAAAGCAAAGCAACCAAATAATCTTTAAGATGATACCAATAACGCCGTATGTCCAAAAATTGACGAACGCCGGATTCCATTGTGTCGGGACACAAATGATTATCTATAATTGAAATAGAACTAACCATTCTCTTCCAGACACGATTTTTTGTGTGAGCGTGTGTATGAACAAAATTCTATTTCTACTTACCCCAAACAAAACAGAGAGTTGAAGAGACCAGAGACGATGCCATATGTGTCTAGATTGTCTTCAAAACCAATCTCCCTGAGGTGGAACGAAAGAGGGAATGAGTTTCAATACAGTAAATCAAGGGTGTCAAACTCAATTGCTCAGCGGGCCAAAATCAACCCAAAGTTATAATAATAATAATAACAAATCAAGACATACCGAGAGACTACAGATTCTCACTTTTATGCAACTTTGTCAGAGCCGAGTGTTTGGTGTATGTTGATTAATTTTAGTAAAAGTTTTACAGCATTTGCAACACAATAAGATCATATAAGTGTCGAAGATCAAAGGTGTTACAAGAGAGTAACAACAAACACAAAACAGAAGGAGGAGAGATTAGACAATAGATGTTTGAAGGGAAAGAAGGAGCAGACCACACAAGGGCACCAGCCTACCGCCAACTTGACGTCTTTTCTTAGCAAAAAATTTACTTAAGTTGGAGTAAAGTTCTGTGTTATGATGATTCTCAGGATGAGCTACCTAAAATTCTCTTGTGAACGGGTTATAACATTGTTCATCTCATCCGATATAGCTCTCAGGCCTTGGATTTGACAACTGTGCTGTGAATATCTTACGTCATAATTGTATCATTTAGGATGTGGGAATCTTTAACCCTACTGGCAGGGAAAATCAGTATCAAGACCAATATTACAATATTTATCAATAATATATAAATATATATATCTTTCCCATATAAGGAACTGAACACACACCTACTTCAACACAGATCTACCATGAGAGAAGCAAAGCAAATAACCATCCATAAAGATGCCTAACAAAATGAAAGAAAGAAATTTGATCAATATAATCATAGTGGCTTGTATCAAACAGGATGCACAGCTGAGAGAGAACTGCGACAACAATGCTGTATTTGCGTGTGTGCGTGTGTGCGTGTGTGTGTGTGTGTGTGTGTGTGTGTGTGTGTGTGTGTGTGTGTGTGCATGCACGCGCACGCGCTTGCATGTGTGCGTGCGTGCGAGAGTGCTTGCGTTTGTGCGGGCGTGTGTGTGAGGTTCAGCATCGAAAGTGAAGTAAGACAACACAAACTTGGACTGTAGAGAACTTACTGGGCACCAATGACCAGGCACTTCATGGTGGGAACCACAGCACAGCCGATGCAGAAGCCGACAAACACCAGGCCAAGAATAACTGACCACAACTCACTGGAAGAAAAACACAGAGAAAGTGCATAAAAGATAAGATAATATTTTATTAAACCAGAGGGAAATTTTTCTTGGCAGTACAGGACCGTAAAAACACATGCAGGTATACATCAAAATTAAAATGATATATTACTCTCATTAAAATTCAATATGAAAAGAGAAGTAAAGCTGACTAAAAGTACATATCACATCAGATGCATCATTCAACCACATGCAGGAATTTTATTACAAGACCTATAGAGAAGATCTGTAAGAGCCTTGTCGCCACTGAGCAGTGCCTGAAGTATACAGCTTTTAAACAATGAGACTTCAAACATTTTAAAGACAAGTCTTTATTGTCCATATTCTGGCACTTTGGTTTGGTGTTTCACCACGTACACACATGTACCCACACACACACTCTCACTAGAAAAATAGAAGATGAAAAGGATCAGAAGTGACTAACTCAGAAGAAAACAGGAGATGAAAAAAGACATGAATAATATAGGTGTTTTTTTTAAAGAACATCCGAGGAGACAAATGAGTGGCATACTGATCTTGAGCTGAGCTGGGAAGCAAGATATATATGAAGCTCCTGTCTTGCCTCGTTGCCATCATCATCATCATCATCATTACAAACCAAACAATTTTCCCATTTTTTTGCTTTGTTTTTCTTGAAGCATGACAATTTGTTGGCACATTTTTTTAAATGTAACGTATAAATATTGGCACCAAATCAGGACACAGGACAAAAAGAAAGTTCCTGTCATGTCAACAGGTGGAGCAATACCCCCCATTGGTAGTTATTACGCCACTACACTTATTTTTTTTTCATATATATAAAGTTAACACCTGTATACAGTGGAATCTTGTTATAATGAGAGGGGGGGGCCGGTGCAAAATGTCCGTTATAGCAGGATTCTCGTTATAAGGGATGCTGTGATAAATTTAATGGAAATAATAAAGTAAGCCTAATCTATGAGTTTGATGTTCTGTTTATTTCTTTTTGTTATCTCCCCTGATGATGATTCTGTTCAGCATGACCTCTAGGTCTTGCTTGATGAAAAATCAAATCAGGTATCTTTCTTTAGTGCTAGCGATGTTGACAGCTCGTCATTGACGATCGGAAAGAAAGGGCTCTAGGCTAACTCACCCGTGGTGTTATTCCCCACCCCACCATACCCTGTGGTGCGTTCCGTCTGCATGCGCCCGTCACACATTCGCTCCATCCATCACAGCACTGGTACCTCTCCATCCCCGCATCAGAGAAGCAAGAGGCATGGTAGGCCTAGATAATCTAGGCTAAGCTGGCCTATCACGCAATGCCCTCTGCTTGTTTGCGCATGCCACACCCTCCCCACTCATTCACTCCGTTCTTCGTTGTTGGGACACGTGGGCTCTCCTTTTCTTTGTTTCGCTAGATCACCAAAAGTAATTCAACTGGCAAGTTTATAAATGTATAATTGGCCTGTGCGCTGTGCATAGCAGCAGCTATATTCCACTATAACCCACTTGCGTGTTTGTCTGATTGTGCTGTAGCAGTATTTTATTTACAAAGATAAAGAAGGGAAAAAACAGGGTTTTAGAATAGTTTTATAACAGACTTCTCATTATTTCAGGACTCATTATAAGTGGACTCCACTGTATCATATTTATTATACATACTATCCAATCTTACTTGAAGACAATTTGTCGAGCACGGGTAGAAAAAAAAAGCCCAGAGGATAGGATCGGCTTTCTAAATGACAAGTTTGTGTCTGAACAGGGCTTCGTTTAGTTTTTAGTTTAAGTAAAACTTTAACGGTACCTGCAACACCAATAAGTTAAAAAGTGCTGAGTACTAGAGATATTGCCAGACAGTAGTATGCAGGTAAAAGAAGGAGAGACGATAGATATTTGATAGGAAAGAAAGAGCAAACCATACTAATCACCCATGAAAAATTGCTGAGTTCATAAAAAGGCTAAAAACAAAGTTTTTAATTTTAGTACGAGTTTTACGACTCTTACAACACAATAAGGTCAAATAAGTGTTGAAGATTAGAGGTGCTACAAGAGATTTACAAACATACAAAAAGAAGGAGGAAAGAAAAGGACGATAGATGTTTGATAGGAAAGAAGGTGCAAACCAGACCAGAGCACCCACCATTCACCCACAGATAATTTTTAACATGCGGAGAAAAGATAGAAAGAGAGATAAGGATGATAGATGTTTGATAGGACAGAAGGAGTGACCATGAAAATCACTCAGGAAAATATGCTGAAGTCATACAAAAGCTTAAAACAAACTAAGATACTTACAATGGGATGAAAGGGAGGAATGGAGCTGGGCCCACAAAGAGATAGCCAACACCACACACAAGGTTACCAAGAATCAACAGAGGGGCTTGGATGTTCTGTGGAGCAGAAAATATTCACATCCTAGTCTTTTTCTTCTTCTTTTTCTTTGCATTCCTCTGCTAGACCATATGGGTAGTTGACTGCTGGTTCTTCAACCTGTGGTGAAACGCATTTTACAAATGTGACCGGTTTTCCTACTTAGAAGGGTCCCTTAAATTGCCTTCAGGCAGCCACATTCCAATATCGAAGGTACTCCTACATGTTTTTTATATTGACTACAGTATCTTCAGTTTTGAAGGAAATTTTTAATTTAGGTGGTGGCCGAAGTCTACTTTTTTTTATTATAGGGACACCAAGGGATCTTTTACACGCACATGGGGGATCTCCCATCATCTGATGACATTCTGTGGCATCAAACTAGTAATGATTGTCCCCGGACAATCAAACATACCTGGAAATGACAGAGAAGGCACACTTGCCAAATGGGGATCTAGACAGGAACAACCCAACATTCCAACCTCATACAACACTGCAAAACAAATCATTAAAAACAACAACAAACATGATTGGATGAACAGATGGGTCCTGGGAAAGACAGGCAGAGCAGTTTTCAAACATAGGACCACAACAAAAAGGAAGGACAATATCAACCACATACAGAGAAAGAAACAGACCACAATCTTCCGCCTACGAACAGAACATATACAAATCAACTTCCACCTGAACGAAATAAACCCAGAACTTCCCCCAATGTGTCCCTTGTGTGACTATGATGCAATGCATATGAGACTGTGGATCATCACCTGTTCCACTGCACAGCCCTAAATGACATCAGAGCTACCCTTCTCCCTCCGAGACCTAACATTGACAACACACTCTATGGAACATTACAGCAACTGCAGCAAACCAGCACTTATCACTACATGGCATTGGACAGAAGGGCGAGAGCTGCTGGGCCCACTAAATCTAAAACTGTAGGTTACCTATAAGAGGGTCCATAGCTATACAAAGTAAGGTAGAACCATTCAAGAGTTTGAAAACAGCACACTAGTCTTAACACTGCACCCTCTACAAAACTAATGGAGAAAAAGTGTATGCTGGAAGATAAGGTAAGATAAGATTTTATTGATCGCTTGAAAAAGAAAGTTGCCGCAACATGGTAAATACATACAAGCACATGCACTTGTCAACACACACACACACACACACAGACACATAAACACACACATACACACACACTTATATCAACATACATGGACAAACACACAGAAATAGCCAGTGCTATACAGAGCAGAACCAACTTCATAGACGAGCTATTTGTCTCTGATGCCTTATTTCAGGTGCATTTTTGGGGACGGAGTTGTAGTAGAGAGATGGGCGACTATATGATAGAAGTCAGTTGGTGCCTGGAGAAAGCAGAACAAAGGGAGAGAAGTAGAACCTACCAGTGGTTCCCTCCAATCACCAACTTTTAGTTTTTAGTATTAATAAGCATTTTACATACAGTACTTGCAAAACAATTAGGTCATAAAAGTGCCAAAGATGAGAGGCGTTACAAGATAGTAACAAACACAAAAAAAGGAGCAGAGATAAGGATGATAGACGTTTGATAGGAAAGAAGGAGCAGACCACACTAGGGCACCCGCTGTCCCCCCACCACCAACTTTTTGAGGTGGTCATGCACTTGGCCAGACTGTATAAAGTAATCAAGGTATTCAAGTTTTGAGAAACTTATTCTACAACAGAAATTGGACGTCAATCTGACCATTTCTCACACCGGCAATTTGCCTTTGGTAAAACAGTCGGAATTGTAAAGATGGCCACCCATTATCGAGGAGGTCATCTTAGACAGGTGGAAGTTTTGGACAGTGTCATTACGATATGGGAGAAACACAGGGGGAGAAGTGAAGGGTTTGTTTGTACAAGCCAAGTGACTGTCTTGAACATGTGGCTAGTTGTTAGAACATGTTTGACTATATAATAAAAAAAATTAAAACTTTTAATTGAGCATACCGGTAGCATCTGCTAGTGGAGTACTGATAGATTCTTTATTGAACACTGACAAATTTTGAAAGGGACCCTCTGTATCAGTGTGTTAACCTCAGTCTTCATCTAAGCAGAAACAGCAGAGGGAGAGGAAAGAGGTATGATCTATCAGTAGCACCCACCAAACACCCATAATGTATAAATATCTGCCACATCTCCCCATTTTTCAAAGTAATAAAACTGTGATATGTTTGTTTGTTTCTTTGTCTGAGTAAAGAGTTACTCATTTACATAAAAGCAGTCACTTAGCGCAGAAAAGAGGTAAAACAGACAGACAGAAACAATAACAAGTAAAGAAAAGAAGCAGAACCTATCAGTGGCACCCCCCAACCACCTGCCATTTTGTTATAAGAAAATTAAAGTGTTGAAGAGATAACAGAAACAACAAAGGATAGTAAAGAAGTAGAACCTACTACTGGCGCCCTCTAACCATCTTTTTTTGATCAAACAACTTCATACAATCTCAAACCCACCTAAAAATGACAAAGAGAGCAGATACTTCCTTTGCAAAAAGGTTAATGTCCCCGCATCCTTGAGAAAGATAAAAAAAACTAGGTCAAGGGACACGATGTAACATCCCCCCTCAACGACACGCTATGTCTGTCAGATTGCCAAACTGAGGACCCTCGGAGTCTCAATTCATCTACTGCAGGATCTCCATTAACCCTTTCAGGACATATCACTAAAGGATCGGCCCCCACAGCTGGTAATTTCTGTATATTACATCATTCAAGACTCGTTCTGAAACAGTCTCCACAACTTCTTCCTCCAACACACGCTATTGACACCATTACATTTATCAACAGAGATCAGTGAAGCTTGTTTGTACACTTGAGAAACAAGAAGCACATCCGCCTGATAAGGTAGAGTGTTTCAGTTTCACCATATCCACTTATTCTGTTCAATATGAACCATACTTTCCTGTCTATCAACAATCCCAACTGTTCTACTCTGGATAAGAATAGGCAATTTGCCAGAATAATAAACGTTTAAAAAAAATGGCTTTACTAGTAGCATACGACCAGTTTCCAGTTGTTGTTGCTATGTCAATATAATTCTAATTTCGTTTTAATAAATAATTTTATATTTGTTGCAATTTTGTCACATGACTTTGAATTCAGTGTACAGATCCATTGAAGGATTATTTTTGACATTCTCAATTTATGGTTCATTTAGGCCTTAGGTGCCCATTTTGAGTTAATTTTTACAACTTTATTTCTTATTTTCAAATACATGTACCCAAGTTACTTAACTCATAATGATAGCAATATATACTAATATGATATCAATTCAACAAATGCAACTTCCCCAAGGCAGAAAACATTAAAGAAAAAAAGTTGGTTCACTTGTACTCGGATAACCAGATCCAGCAGCTTAACCATATACCACAAATACTTTGCTAGATGAATTTGTTTGATTTTTTTCAAGGGTTGGAGTGGGACAGGAAGAAAAGATGAAAGTATAGTTTATTGCATAGAGGCTTGCATACAGAAAGGAGGTTAATAAAAAGAATTTAAAGGCACAAAGTTTGTAAAACCAACACATTTTTGGAAAAAGACACATTTAAAGGCCATTGACATAACATATCAATTTTATTCAGCCCTTCATCAAAAGATTTTGCGTTGATGACTCTGACTCTGAAAGGCACAAACCAAATGCCTGCCAGCCCCAATCCCTTGCATTGCTTGCTCCACTAGAGCCAGTTTTCTTCCAAAAAGCCTCACAAATTTCACAACAAAGTTTAAGCTGATTCATAATTTGTGCATACGCAATAGTGACAGTCTGTGAACGGTCATTTCTTTACCGCAAACTTTGGGTTTTACCATTATTTTTGTCATTAAATGCACTTATCTTATTTTATGATTATATAAAAGGAGTATATAATGAAATTGCAACCCACAGGCGAGGAATTTGAAACACAAGCAAAGATAGTACAAGACAAGATGGGCCACTTCTCTCTTTGAGCCAATTAAAAAAGTGTCCTCAAAATTTGGTGGCGCCCTCTTCACAAAAGCGCACTCTTTGCGAACAGAGTTATCCTACTTGAGTTTTAAAAAATCAAAGTGAAACTAGCAAGTTTTGGAATAAATTTCGGAAGAACGCTTTTTAAAAATGGTTATGCTGACAAAAAACCTCTTCCGGAGGAAATGGAGACGGTTTTCTTAGTTTAATTTGACTTTAGAATGAAGGGCGAGAGGTCATTAAAATAAAAAAAACCCTAAAACTCCGCACTGAACGTACCCGAACTGCTGATGAACAGCAGTCGATCTGCGCACGCAAGGAGGTGCTATTCCTATTCTTCTTCTGGAAAAACGAAAGAGAGCTTCAAAACAGACTGCAGCGCCATCTGAAGCAAAGAGCATACTTCCTGCGGACACTTTTTAGGCTGAGTGGCCCATCTTGTCTTGTACTATCTTTTACACAAGCCTATAGCATCAAAAACACTTTCAACGTAGAAACGTAACTTATATAGAAAGTACAATAAATTTAAACTTTTCAAATCATCTAAACTGAATGTATTCAAAGAAGTCTTCAATTTTATTTGGAAATCGTTTGTTCACAAACTTCACGATGAGCCACTGGTGTGCAGACCAGCTATGAGAGCTTTCTTGTTTTGAAACTGTGCTATTACTTGACGACTCAGCAGACGACGTGATGTTAAGGATTTGATTCAGTAGACAAAAGCAATATTATGAGTTGGGAAGAATCACAGAAGGTGAGTTGCATAGAAATTGAAACACTGACAAAGTAGGAAAAGTGACAAAATTGGAACACCCACTGTACCGTACACTCATTTATTCTTCTTCTTTTATCCGCCGCTTATACCCTTTTGGGTGTCGCAGATCGTACACTCATTTATTACCCCGAAAAAAGTAAGCCAGGGAAACAAAAAAAAAGCCAATGAGTAAAACAGGACCTAAAATGAGCAACCACCAACCATCTGCTCAGGATTTTAAAAATCTTACTCCCACTTTTGAGTTAAGACAAAAACATTGGTACAATAAACTATGTCATTTGGCACTGAGATAAAGCAAGACAGATTGACAGAAACAAAAGAGGGAAAGTAAAGAAGAAAAGGTTTAATAACACCCCTTGCAAGAGTGTAAGGTTATTTATGAGTAGGGACCTCCAAATTTTTCTCCATCTCTGAAAGAACAAATCCAAATGAGAAAATTAGGGTAAAGTCAAGTGCCCTTTTTTTAGGACACTATGTCGGACCTAGCTGAGCCTGAAACCTCAAACTATCTGACTCAACTCCCATTTTTGAGAATGCTATAAGTAGTGGGTTTTTGGTCTTGCAATACACTGCATTGCGAATGGAACAGGGTGCTGAACCTTGCTTACTAGCAAAAACATCTTTACTAAAAGAGAGATTGAAAGAAACAGAAGGAAAGGAGAGAAAGAGAGAGAGAGAGAGAGAGAGAGAGTGAGAGAGAGAGAGAGA